CCTGTCAGGGCCGGGGTGGGTGGACCGGGGCGGCCCGGGGAAGGTGGCGGCTGGAGGGGACCGGAGTGAGGACAGGGTGGAGCAGGGAGGCCTCTGGAGTGCAGGGTCCAGTCCAGTGGCCGGCGGTGGCCGCCGCTTCTGCTCCAGCCGGTCCCGGGAGGACGCCCCGGGGCGGGGCGCGGGGCTCACTGTCGGTCTGCACAGCACCAGGCGCTATCGGAGTACCGGCCCATCCTCTCGGACGCGCACCGGCTCGGGCACCACGCCTCTGCGGCCGACAGGAAGCTGGTGCTCATCCCGCTCATCTTCATCTGCCTCCGAGTCTGGAGCACCGTGCGCTTCGTGCTGACCCTGTGCGGCTCCGCGGCCGTGCGGACCCCCGTGCTGGTGGTTCTGCACGTAGGTCCCCCTCGGGGCTCGGCGGGTCAGAGGCCCTCCCCGGGAGCGTGGGGCTGCTAACGCGCCGGCCGGGGTGGGGGGCGCCAGCGGGGCTCAGCCGGCCGGCTCCGCTCTCCCACACTGCAGCCCCCGGCCGATGAGCAAAGGCTAGCGGTCCGGGTGGCTCCGGGTGCTGTCCGCTGGCCTAGGAGTAGCCCCCAGGGAGCTGACTCTGAGCCTACCCACAGTCGAGCCTGTGCCAGCTGCAAGGTCAGGCCTGGAGCTCTCCCCCGTGGCCAGGGTCCCTGCAGACCGACCCCGGAGAGGGCAGGCCAGGCCGGGGCCTGCAGACCCAGCCTCCAGCCCCTGCGGGCAGCGCGCCCGGCCTGGCCTCACCCGCGCTCTCTCCACAGGGCATCGGGAACACCTTCCAGGGCGGTGCCAACTGCATCATGTTCGTCCTCTGCACCCGAGCCGTGCGCGCACGGCTCTTCGCCCTCTGCTGCTGGGGCCCTGCCCAGCCTCCCGCCGGGAGCCCCGCCGGCCCTCCCCAGGCCCCGGCCTCCTCCAGGGCAGGCGGCTCTCAGGGAGCGGGACGGGCCCCCGCCGAGCGGCCAAGCACCTGAGCCTCGCCTGGTTCTGCACGTTGGTGCTCCCTGCAGGGCCTCAGGCCCCGCACCCCTCGACTGTGGAAGCCCTCGATCCCTCCGGGAGCAGCTGCAAACTCAGCCTCTTCTACCTCTAAGACCCTCGGGTGACTCGGTGCCCCCTGACCCCCAGGCCCGCCGCAGGGGTGCGTGAGGGTCTGCACTGAGCTGGGGGAACCGGCGGGCGGGCCCACCGCCAGGCAGCCCAGCCCCATGGTCACTGGCCTCGTCCTCACCGTTTACACTTTGAGGGACTCGCCCCTCCTTCCCGTGGGAAAGCACTGTACATTGACCCCCACCCCGCCCTCAGTAACAGGCAGGGGCCTGCCACGAGCCCCCCTGGGTGCCGAGAGCTGCAGCCAGCCCCCCTCACCAGGGTGGGGACCCTCTGCCCCAGTGCCCAACCAGGGGCGCCACCCCGACCCTCATCCTGGGGCTGTCTGGGGAGCCGGATATCAGGCACAGGCCACCTCCACCTCAGTCTCCAGGGTCACCTACAGCACCACCACTTCCCCTCCCCCCTGTGGCAGGTAGGACAGGCAGCATGGGGGCCCCCGCGGGCACCCCACTGTCTGTGCAGCTTCTCTGTGAGTGAGTGGGGGTCTCTGGCGTGTTCGCCAGCTTTGGTGTTTTGTAGGAAAGGTGGCCGGAGGCTGAGGCTGGCCAATACTGACCGACACGCCTCGCCTGGTGGAGGTTGGGGCGATGCTGGGGCTGGGGGGCGCCGCGTGGGGCGGTGGGGTTTGTTGAGCAGTAACCCCGCGTCTGTTCCTGGCCCATGTTCTCGCCCGTTACTTCGGAAAGCGAGTTCTCTGTGGCTAAGAAAGGGGGTGGCCTCCTGGGCCCCTGGGTGTCCCGCCTGTGTGTCCGTCAGAGGCACGCAACACAGAAGGGTCCCGAGCGAACCACGAACGAAGGCTCTGGACTGAGACGGAACCACGCCCTCCTGGGGTTCCCGCTTCCTCTGGGAACCTGCAGCAGGGCATGACCCCGCGGGGGGTGGGGGGTCTTCCGCAGAATCAGTGCTCCTTTGGGGCTTCCTGAAAAGATTCATTTATGAAAGTCATCAGGACCCTCCCCATGGCTTCGGTGAATCCCGTGGCCTTCAGGAATTGCTGGCTCCCGTGTGAGGAAGTCCTGGGGGCCCCAAAGATGCTGCCACCCACGAGGGTGCAGGGCTGGCAGAGACCCTCATGAGCAGACAGTGACCCCCAAACTACTCATAGCAGTCAGAGAGGCCAGTGGGATGAAGCTAGAAGTAACCCCGCTCAGACGCCCCCAGTCTGCTCAGAGGGTGCACAGAGGAGGCCTCGGCGTGGCCTCTCCAGGGCAGACCTGGGTCTCCAGACCGGTCAGGAATCACAGAACTCGGGGTGCCCCCTCAGGTTCTCATTCCACGTGGTGGGTGGCACTGCTGTGCCATCTGCTTTTGTAAGAAAAAGCCCATTTTCCTTTCCGTCTCCGCAGCTGCATGGCCCACCGTGGTCTGCAGGTGTGTGACCACAGCCTGCGGGGGGTGGTGCCCCCGGGGGCCTGGTTCCTGCCCCCCCACCCCACATGAAAACAGCGTGACCAGAACCGGTGGCCACGTCAGCACAGCTCGGTGGGGTCTTCGGAACCAAGGACAGTCCTGAGAGCCCACGAGCTCTGGTCTCCTCGCTGGGCCCCGCCGGCTTCACTGTTCTCTCTTCAGATTGACCCACCCCACCCCTGGGGTACAGATGCAGAACCTCAGCCTGACAGGTGCCGTCTGTGATGAGCTCAGCTCAGACCTCCCTTCTCCGCACTTCCTGACCCCGACGCCCATTCGGGCTCGCAGGCCCTCGCCACCTCTCTCTGCCTCCTCTGTTTAGTGTTGTAATAAAGATGACGGTGTGGCCCGGCCGAGGGCGCACAGAGCTCGTCACCCACCCACGGTGAGACAGAGCGCCCCACCCAACTCGGAGCCTTCCTGGCATGTGTGAAACTCGCGAGATCCCCGGTCCTGGGTGGGGCCAGAGTCTTACTATTTTAAATAAAGTCATTGTTTTACTTCTGTGCGTCCGGGAATGGGTTGCTCGCTGATATGGGGAAGGGAGGACAAACAGCTCCAGAACCTTCCATGTGGCTGAACCTGGAGACTCAGCCCTGATCCAAGACAGAGCCTGCTACTTGTGGGGACCCGCAGATCCCAAGTTGCTGCCCCTTGGGACACACCTGTCATGATGAGGCTGAGCTGGTGACACCCTGCCCTTCCCCGCATCGCTCGTCACAACATGCAGGGCCGCAGACGCAGGCTTCCCGCGGCCGGGCCCACCCAGTGCCCGTCTCTAACGGGAGCAGCCTGCCAAGCCCGCAATGGCCTCGGTGGCCTGCACAGATGAAGCAGCCGGCCTGCAGCCACAGATGACTTCGGACTGCTACGTCTTGAGAACTTTGCCCCTCCAAATGTCTCTTATTTCTTTGTTCCACTTCTGGATTTAGTGAAGTCAAAAATCCTTTAAGTATCAAGAGAATTAGACGATAAGGTTAAGGCTGGGAACAAATACTTGCAAGAGGAACGTCTGATAAAGGACTGTTATCCCAAATAGGCACGCAAAGTAAGAAAACAAGCAGTCTGATTAACATGACTGCTTATTGCAGCCTTATTCATAATTGCCAAAACTTAGAGCCACCCAGACATTCCTCAGTAGGCCAAAGATAAACAAACGGGGATATATCCATTCAGTGGAATATTACTCGGGACAACTCACCAAAATGAGCAGGAAACTTCAATGTCTCTCAGTGAGTGAAATAGGCGATCTGAAGTGTGTGCATGCTGTATGATCCAACTCTATGCCCTTCTGAAAAAGCAAAATTGTGGAGACCATGAAAACAGTGGTTACCAGGGATTGCGGGGGAAGGGCGAATAGGCAAGGCACAGAGGCTGCACAGGCCCCGGGCCCCGGGAAGGGCGGGGTCCCATGCCCCTCTGGCGCACCACCTTCCCTGAAGCTCTACGTGCTCACCAACACCAGTCCCTTGGGGTTTTCTAGGACTTCATGACATAGACACAGTCAAGTGAATCACTCGCCACTGGGGGCTGACCTGAATCTCCAGCCTTCTCTCGTCAGGGTCCATGGGTGGGGCTGGGAGTTCTGACCCGCTCACCACTTCACTCCTTTTTCACTGCCAGCAATAAGCTCCCACCCCTACGCATTTCCCAAAATGTCACTTCATTGAACATAGCAAAGACCCTTTATCACTCCCAGTGCTTACCAAATTTGCTGGCTTTTAGATGGAGGATTTAAATAGTTGTACATGGAATAAAAGGGTGTAGGTAAACTCTTGAACAATAAAGTCAGTTATGATCTGATGCACTGTTTCCAAGACTATTTTTGTAACTTATAAACTTCAGGTTTTTGCTAAGTTGCATTTAAATTTACTGGCTATCGAGATCACTTCTATTAAGATAAAATATGGAAACTTCAGTGGAGGAAAGGAGCGTCTCCCTTTAATAAATGATGCTAGGAAAACTGGAAGCCAGTTAAAAAATGCAGTTGGATCAGTCTCTAATTTCAAATACAAAAGTAAATTCCAAATGGAAACGGATTCTAGATTTAGATCTAAGACCTGCAACAGTAAAGCAGATAGCAGGTAGCACTGGCAATCTGTTCCATGACAGCAGCCCAATTCCCAGGGGCTGGGGCCCCACTTTATCCACCTGTTCTTGGGGGGTTGGGTCAACCGAGGGGCGGTCTACTCCGCATACCGTGACCCTTGATGAGGGGGTGCCGGTGAAGGCCGCTGTCTGTAGCCCTCATGCCACAGCAGATGAGTCGCCCTCACAGACAGGAATCTCGAGACCCGGGAGCCAGAGCGGCGTGGAAGGAGAGAAGCGCGTCCATACGGTGACTATACTGGTGCCTTGAGGAGCGATATCACTCACTCACTCACTCACGAAATAGCTGCCCCGTGTGGCGAGGAGGGAAGTGGGTGAAGTTATTCACCCAGGAAAGAACATCGTATCACTCAGAGCGCCATGCGGCCCAGCGCTCCGTGGGGCCGGTGCCTGTGGGCCCTGCTGTCCTGGCCACGCTCCACCTTTCTGGTGTGGTCACAGTGGCGCCAGGGATTCCACCTCCGCCCCCTACACACACTGGCGCCACCCTCAGTTTCCCGGACCCCAGCCCAGCCTCAGCTCCCCAGGCTCGCTCTGGGGGAGAGGGGGGGCAAGCATCTCCAACTGGGTCTCGCTAGGTGGCTTCCGGTCATGAAGGGCTGGGGCGAAGCATCCAAGGCCTGTGCGCTAGAGACAGGACAGCACTTCCCCTCCGCGGGCCTGCCACTCCTTTGCCGCTCCCTGATCCTGATTGCAGGAGGGTGAGGGTAGGAGGTGGAGCTTCTCAGGTAAGACTGAGGAAGCCTTGCGCAGCCGCACCTGTCTCCTCCCTGCCTCTCACCCCTCCGCCCCAGGAGGAGAAGGGCAGCGGAGTCGGGGGGCAGCCAAGTGCCATTGGCCAGGAAGGAGAGCCCGGGGTGCCGTGCCAGGTAGGGGAGGATGTCTTTCCCGGTGGGCGCAGGGCCAGGGGTGCCCAGGCTGAGTGTCGGGGGGTCCTGAAGACCGCCTCCAGGACGAGCGCTGACCAGACTCTCGGGCTTTGATGAGAACCGGAGCCACCTGTGGTTCTGGCGAAAGCTCAGGTTCTGCGTGAGCCGGGCTGGGGTGGACACTGCATGGCTCACAGGCCCACAGGCCTGTCTGCTGGGCCCCCGGCCCGGAAGTCTGCAAGAGCCCTGGCTTCCTGGGCTTCGGGAGTGTGGGCTGGAACCTGATGGTGGGCTAAGTGGAGTGCAAGCCTCAGTGATCAAAAGTTAGACCAAGAGCTTACTAGGGACTCAAAGCGGGGACGAGCCTGGGATGAAAACAGAATTTGCCTTGTAAGAACTTTGTAAGAACTGCGCCAGCAGCTTATATAGCGTAAGCTTCTACAGGTAGCAACCGAGAGCCATTGATGTCCGAAGTGTAGTTCTTGGCAGGGGAGGCTTCCGGGCAAGCAACTTTGACCTAAAGATGGGTTGATGCTTCCTCTGTGCACAGAGGAAGGTAATGCTGGGGTTTACTCTCGTCTAAAGAAGGCGCTGTGGGGGTGCAAAGGCTGGGGACCCCCCGTGGAATGTGCTCATTGTCTGGTTCCCCGGCCCTCAGTGAGGGTGGAAAGACTTCATTTATCGGCTGGCAGCAGAACTCGCATGGCTGTTTCATAGCGTTCTGGTCTCTGCAGACGGCTTCGTTGGTTCCAACACGTTCTACTGCTCCCCGCTGGGGGTGGGGAGCGACCTGTGTGTGGCTGAGGGCTGCCAGCTTCCAGAAAGTGTTCCTCAAGAAAGGGGTGAAAATGTGAGGTGTGGTGTCTGGTCTGGGATCTCACGCAGCGCTGGCATCCTGAGCTCAACAGGTTTATCACCCGTGTCAGTATCTGTCAGCGGCTGCCGGGGAGCTGTGTGTGCCTCGGTGGAGAGCCACACTATGACTTAACGTCACACTTCCTGATTGGACCGGACTGCCCTGGGGCATACAGTTCTGTAATGAGCGGGAACTGGCCTCGTGCAAGTTAATTGTCTGTGGGCACGCAGTAATTCCATCCAGGGCTTTCAGCTGCCTGCCCTCCCTCTCAAGAAGCCAGTTCAGATCCATTTGCAAGCTCATGTCTAATCCATAACTATATCTGTCCTTGGATTCCCATTTTGAATCAGCTATAACATCTGCCTGGGTCTCTCCCTAATAAGTTAAACATGCACACAAAATAATAACTTAGACACAATCTTATTTTTTTATTTGTACAAGAATCATCATTTTGGGAAAAGAATCCTTTAATATGCTGAATATATAATCACATCATAATAGGGCATTTTGGTATTTATTCTCTTTTTTAAATTGTTAAAATTACTCAACTTTTAAAATTGAAATTCACATAACAGAAAATTAACCTTTTTTTTTTTAAAGATTTGTTTATTTATACATACAGAATTGGGGTATAGGCCAGAGGTGCAGGGGCAGTGAGAGGATTCCCCAGAGACAGAGTGGGGGGCAGAACAGGCAGATCTACTGAAATACACTGCTGAGGGGAGCAGTGGGCGGGTCAGGAGAGGTCTGCCGCGCCATGTGGTCACCTCCGGGGCAGGCGGGGATCGAACTCATGCGGAAGCGGCTTTAGCTTCTTAGTGCTGTGCTTTAACCCGCTGCGCCACCAAGGAGGGCCGAAAATTACACTTTTTAAAGTGAACAATTCAGTAGCATCTAGTGTACCACAATGTTGTAGAGCCACAACTCCACCTACTTCTAAAACTGTCACTCCGTTAAGCAATGGTTCCCAACTCCCTCTTCCTCTGGCCCCTGGCTGTCACCAACCTTCTTCCTGTCTCTGCGTTTACCTGCACTGAATTTCACATATAAATGGAATCACACAGTATGTGACGTTTTGTGCCTGGCCTCTTTCACTTAAATACAGTTTCTGAGACATATACAGCATGTAACAATACTTCGCTCCTTCTCACCGCTGTGTAATATTCCGGTGTGTGTGTCCATGTGTGTAACGAGTTTGTCTGCCCATTAATAAACATTTGAGTTGTTGCCACCTTCTTGCTGTTGTGAATAGTGCTGTTATTATGGGAAAGCAACATAGGTCACACAAACACATGAGGCCCCACGACCAAAATATGTCACTTTGACATGTGGAACATTTTGGGCTAAAAAGAATCAAGATCCAAAAGATTCATAAAGATCCTTTGATCTTCCCTTTAACTGCCTAAAAGAATTTACATGGGGGTTGCTGGGAGTGACCAAAGATTTACTGACAAGGACTGAATTAGGGCGGTAAAGAATTTTTGCCTTGCATCCAAGCTTGATAAGGTGGTAATAAACTGACCTTGAGATCCTGGCTGGGACCAGCTGAAGGTGACAGGGAACTGGGCCTCACATCAAGGACACAGCGATGAGTCGCCCCTCTGGAATCTGAGTTTAGAATCTACAGAAGAGACCCTTCCCCCTTACTG